GATGAACAATTATATAATCATACTAATTAGGATGAACAATTATATAAAGAATACTAATGAAGATGAGTTTTATCAAATATAAAGTCACTCCACGTGACTTATTATAGCTGACATGATTTGCCAAGGTTTATGAATTATTAATGATATTTTAATTTGGTATAATCTACCTGGTATATTAGTATATATGTATGGATGCAACAACTTAGTAATAATTTCCCCCCTTTAGGTTTGTTTGCAATTTCCACGTTCCATTAACAACAAAAGACTGCCACATCTTGAATTGAACGTGCAAAACCTCAAGGCAGCAATCAATTTCAGTGAATTTAGTGCTTATGGTTCAGCAAGCTTAGGGGATCTTTTCCTTTTTGACCACAGCTCCATTGGTAAGAATATACGAACCTCAGTAATATTATATGCTTCCATTTTATAAGTTGATTATTTTTATATGACTGATTATTATCTTTCCTGTTTAGAGCATGATAGCACAGATGATAGATTATACCAGATGTCTCACCCAGCCAAGATTGTGTCCTCGATTTGTTATGAGCACGCGTTGGCCGCCATTTTGGCAGTAAGTGTAATCCACGCTATGAAATGTGAGCAATCACGCATTTTGGCAGTAAGCGCCATTTTGGCAGTAAGTGTCGCACGCGTCATCTGGCGTAATAGCCTCGCGAAAATCGCGGACACGAAAATCATAGGGATAGATACACAGTGAGACATCTGGTACAATCTATCATCTGTGATGATAGTTATGATAGACATAATGCTTGTGGCATTTTAATACTTAGACTATACGAGGGTGACTGATCTCAGAGTTCAAGAACCTTAAACTGTATCATTTTCGTGGGCACTAAGCCTGTATGTGCTATATTAAACTGTGGCATGAAGGGAATGTCAAGTAGATGGTGGTCTCAAATACCCACATAGAAATAGAAAGCAAACCCGTAGAGCAAATAGTTAAACCTGAAATTTCACCTATTCCACTTTAGGTACTCTGATGAAACCATTGTCTGTTTTGGAATCATCAGAGGAGAAAGATCTTATCTCGGTACAATATAGTAAGGTATGTAACATATTATCATATTTGCAAATGACTACCATACAGTGTATAGGTAATGGAATTCTTGCATATATATATGAACAACAATTGGGATGACGTGTTGTGGATCGGCGCAATGTCTTATTAACAGCTTTGTTATTTGTTAGAAGAATAAAGAATCGCCTTGATCAACAGGTTCTGCATGATTAATTGGACTCTAATAATTAAGGCCTAACAAAAAATGTGACCTGTGGTTCTGGTCTACAGAACCTAATTTTTTATGTTGGGTTGTCAGCTTACCTACACTATTTTTTCATTACTCACATTATGATAAACGTGGCACCATAATTGGTGTCTCTGTTGCCCACAGTTATTCGTTCTTAATTGAAATGATTGTGTTTTGTGAACATCAAATGATTACACACCTGCATGGTCATTGCGGACACATGTCAAGTCAAAAAAAAATTACGAACCCATCTCTATATAAACAGGGTTGTTCTTAAAAATAATTGCAGGAAGTGTCTCCGTCTACTCCGTCAAAGACAACACAGACATTGAAAGTTTTGTCTACTGTAATCAAACTTCATTTTGAAGAACAATCTGTCCTGAGAATTCAAGAACTTTACAAGTCATTTTTAAACAGGTAAACTGCATATTTCTTCATATGTCATATTTCTTCATATGGCAAGTAAATATAGATGATTCTACAGTGTATGTATGTTGTGGTAATATATGCTTTTGGTGTAGATGCTTATCTCAGAGACAGATGCTCTGGCCATTGAAGTGCAATATTTCAGATGGTGAGCTAAGGTTACGTTGCATGTGTACTGCTAACTGCAAGTCTCGACATGTTTTGCTGTTGTTTAACACCTGCATTTCTGTATATGTATGTTTTTGTGGTAGCTGATGATCATATATATGATTTTGATGTAGATATAAGCTTGATACACATCTACACCAAAATCATATATCATAAGCTATACCACATTATTTAAAAAAAACCCAACAAAAACATGTCGATACTTGCAGTTTGCAAGCAGCACACATGTAAGATACAGCATACATACATACAGAACTATGTAGTAAGTAAGATAACCTTAGCTCATCATCTGAGCTACTGGCCAGTTATCGGAATGTTATGTGGTTCGATTCCAGTTAGGGCTCAGAAGCTTTTTTGAAATATAAGCTTGATAGGCATCTACACCAAAATCATGATTCTATATGTTTATGGTATATCTTTTGTAGTTTCAGGGTATCAAACAATCCTAACACCCAGACGAGTTTTGATGATCTGGATAACAACGAAACAACAAGCCCTAGAATGCACAACAGTGAAACTGAAGATGTTCAAGCCAAGACAACTGATGATATGAAACTTACTGTCAATTTTGACCGACTCGAAGTAACGCTAAGTCGAAAAGAAACCTACATAGTTGGAGCAGTTATTGAAGGTGAGTATATATAGGCCTAATTTCTCGCATGAGTTTTTTATTAGAGACCGACAAGAGCACATTAAAGAATATTGCAACCTAATAAAATTTGTCTTTCAGATGTTTTCACAGAAGTAACCCTTGACGATGAGAAGGTTGTCATTATTTCAAGGTAATTACTGATTGACAATTATCAGGAAAATAGTGGTGGAATTCGGAGGTATGGGGATTACTACTATTGAATAAAAGAGAAAAATATTTTATCAGTAATGCAAAGCAAGTTAATTCGACTTCTTCTAAAAGGTTTTCAAAAGCATTTTCATTACTAGTTTTAAGAATGTTATGTACTGTGACAGTGTTTATCACTGCCAATATGTCATATTATTAATGCTTTTGGTAAGGTAAAATTAAGGTTCATTAATTATTCAGGAGTTCACAGATGGAGTTTCATATATTTTGCTTTTGATGAAGAAAGTTAATTAAAGTGCCCCTGTGACGAAAAAATCATCTCTCCATTTTAGATAGCTAGAAAATACATGCATGCAGAAACCCTCGCCTTCTGACAAAACCATTGTATTTTCCGAACATGAAGTATTTAAAGTAGTTGTCATGGTAACACGATAATTTTTTAAGAATATTTTATAAATGAAAAATACCCTAAAAATATCACTTGAAATTACAAAATTACCAATTTCCCAAACATATTTTTGTTAGCTATGTTATTATTATACGTAATATAAGCTTCAATTTAAGGTAAAATTCAACCACAAACGCTTTGCAAAACGTTTTTTAAAACTTTTTTTTTAAACGTTTAAAGCCCGGGGCGAGAGTACTAATTCCCCCGGCTATTTACACCCGGGGAAACGAAAGCATTAGCGAAGTCTAAAGTTCGTCAATGATCGCGGGCGTGAGTGACCGACGGTGGGTGGTCATCCTCACTGATCTCAAAAATATGGCGGACTGTCATGAATAGCGAACACTGATTGGTCAAATTTAAAATTTGCATTATAACGACTGCATGACGACAGCGAAATAGCAAACATTTCTTGATTCGATGATTTCTTGCAAATATATTTCATTTTTGCAAGATTTTGTGAATTTCAAAAGCTTTTTAAGGAAAAAGGGCGAAAGAATCGCTAAAAGAAGGGAGCAAAGGCGCCGACGTTAAATAAGGTAAGTTTGTTTTAATATAAATGTATTGTTTGCTTTATAATTGCTTTAAAAGCCGATCGTATAAACGTTGCGTATAAACGAAACAAGACAGCATATAATTTCAGTGTATACTTTATTGACTACCCTTTTTTATTATAAAAAATAAAATAAAAAGGAAAGCAAAGTTATTTGCATGCGAGAATTTGAAATAATTTTATTTCAAACTCAAAGTTTATCGATAAAGCCTTAAAGTGTTCTTTATAAAACTAAACTGCCTTTTGGCTTTATCGATAAACTTTGAGTTTGAAATAAAAATTGAAAATGATTTCAAATTCTTGCAAAAATTTCGCCTTTGCTCCCTTCTTTTAGCTGATTCTTTCGCCCTTTTTTCTTAGAAAGCTTTTGAAATTCACAAAATCTTGCAAAAATGAAATATATTTGTATGAAATCATCGAATCAAGAAATATTTGCTATTTCGCTGTCGTCATGCAGTCGTCATAATGCAAATTTTAAATTTGACCAATCAGTGTTCGCTATTCATGACAGTCCGCCATATTTTTGAGATCAGTGAGGATGACCACCCACCGTTGGTCACCCACGCCCGCAATCAGTGATGAACTTTAGACTTCGCTAATGCTTTCGTTTCCCCGGGTGTAAATAGCCGGGGGAATTAGTACTCTCGCTCGGAACGGCGCTGCGCACCGTTGGCTCGGGAATTAAACATTACCTACAGTATACCTCGAAATAAGCTAGCACGGCGTTCTTGGTTTTTAAATATCTTGTTTCGTTCTCAAGACATTCAACTTTTTAAAACATGCAAATTAGGTCCAAAGTAACGTCATTTACTCCAGAATATTAAATCAGATTTAGAAAACGATGAATATCTTCCTTCGTGACAGAAGCAATTCATTCAAACTTTGTGCTAGTATAGCGAAGAGTGTTCACATCTCAAAATTTGTATCACGGCACGGTTTTCATGGAAACCATAAAACAACAAATGCTTGTAAAGCAAAAACGATTATTTCTTCACTGCTAAACAAGCTTTAAACTATAAAGCATAGGACGGAATACTCGCAAAAGTCAAGTTTTAGTCACATGAATCGTCATATTTTTCATAAATGGAAAACACCATTAACATTTTTTAGCGAAGTTGTTATTTTTTGCACTGTTTCCATGGAAACAATGTATGTACACATTGAGCCGCCGGGGCGAGTAATCCCTAATTGTACGAGCAACATCGCATGATTACTTGTTTATTATTAGCATGACAAAATTGGATACTTCTCAATGTCAACATCATATTCTCTCGCCAAAGCCCAGTCCTGCCAGACTTTCAACCACATTTTTTTGCTTTTCGTATTTTCATTTAGTTCTTTTGTTAAAGGAAAATTTACTCATACCTTTCCGCCATTTTGTTTGTTTTGGGAAAATCATTAATTGTACTGCAGTACAATTAATGAAATAATTGTACTCCTCTCAACCAATCAGCATCCAGTAATTTTGTCATGCTAACAATAAAATAAATAATAAACTATTCTTTGAGGTCATACATTACTTTTAAAATTAATTTATTGATATTTTAAATAAATTGCAATTTAGTGGTGATTTGATTGATATTATTAAATATTTTTTAGACAAAAAGGACTATCCGTTACAGATTTGAGTCCATTATCCAACTATTGTAATGTAAGTAGTATCACACAAATGTCTCGGCATCAATTTCATGTTTTTTATGTTGTGTTTAACAGGCATTTTTGGTGTTCTCTGCTTAAGGTTGTTACAATTGAAGGAGATAAACTGTTTGATTTTCAGGTAAGCCATTTCTAAATACTTCCGTGTTTGGATGGCAAATAACACGAAGACGTTTTTATGACCATGCGTATAAGCGCAAATTGTTTTTGTTTAAAAAAAATCTGCTAGCGGATGACAAAACAATCTGTATCTCCATATCTTCATTTAAAACCCGACATACTGTTGTGTTCTGTACCTTCGAGTCCCATCCCAAATACGAAAAATATCCAAGTCCTCGATGCTAAATCCTAAAGTCAAAATCTAAATGCAAATACATCGAACAGGATTATATTTGTATGGTTTTATATTGTAAACAAACGATCTGCTCCAGAAAGGATCTACTCCACAAACGTTATGCACACAGCCTGTTTTCCCTGCGGATATATCGCGGAAAATTTTGGATAATTTATATCATTCAAATTGTCTAGTCTAAGCATAGTTCTGATGACAAAATTTGTACATATGCACTTAGCTCAGAATTATGAACGGTTTTAGCTAGCTACTTTATCTGTATGTAAACTATGCCTACCTGCCTATCTAACTACCTACCTAATGTATGTAAGACAAAATAAAATAAAATAAACCTGGTTTGCTTCATAATATTTTATAAGCAAGTAAACCAGGAAAGAAAAGAAGTAAACTAGTTTTCTTATGAATTAAACCAGGTTTATTTTATTTTGTATATTTTTGTGTTGTAGTACCAAACTCTGCCAAGTGCATCGAATTCTTGTTGCACTACTAACCACAAGAAGTTTATGACCACACCACATAGTCTACTCTCCCTTGATATTGGGAAAATTCGCTTTGTACTCCTGTACAAACTACTATCCAAAATGCAGGTAAAAAGTCAGTGTCGTTGTTTGTCACATTTTTTCTTCCTAGCGTTGTGTTTTTGACAAATTAGCCCATTCAAAGATATGAAGGAAGATATTTGTATAATTTTAATTTAATGATTCCGTTTTATTTACAGGTATTTTTTCAAAATCTTATTAGTCCTGAAACAACGTCATACAGCTACGAATTGGCTCAAAAGACAGTTCAAGAACAGGTGTGTATTGTGATATGTTCTGTCACTCCTGCATGGCCAATTCTATTACTTCACCCATATTCAGCATCAAGCAAAGAAATGGATTCATATTTTTAAAAATATAGCATTCATCCCAGAAAACTGACTTTCTGGTTCAATCCTTTTATTGATCATTTATTCACACTCCACAGATAATTTGAGGACAGATTGAAATTTTCTGTCGCCAAAAGCTTTCGTATGTTTGGCAGGCAATACCAGTTTTTTATCTTTACTATCATTTCTCTTTACATTTTATTTACTACTTTCATTTACAAACAATGTTTAATTTTTCATGAATAAGAAATGTTCCAAATGATGTTTCCTTGAATATGAAAAGTAAATGTTGTTTTCTTTTTCAGGGCAGTTAAACATTAATGCCAACGGAATTGTTGTTGACCATGAAAAATAAACGTTCCGAAACATGTTCTCTTTTTTATGGAAATTAAATGTTTCACAGAATGATATTATTCATCAAAAATATACATTCCAAAAGACGTTAAAAACTTCACCATGAAAACCAACTTTTGGTAGTTGTCTTCTTCACCATGATGCGTAAATGTCCAAAAATGTTTTCTAAACAATGGAAAAGAAACACTGTAAATTGATTTCTTTATCATAAAAATATCTGTAAACATATCATGAAAAGTAAATGTTCAAATCGGTGGTATGTTCAGCAATTAAACACCACAAAAGATGTTGAAATTGCCTCCTTCACTCTCATGCACAAATCTCCCAAACTATTTTCTTCAAAATTAAAAACATTCTAAAATTGCCTCCTTGATCACATGTATAACTATTCCTACAACTGTTCTCTTCATCATCAAAATAAACATTTCAAAAGACGGTTTAAAACTTCACCATCGACATTCAAAAGAGAACATTCAAAGTATTTTCTTCACATCCTTGCATTAATTAGCAAAACTGTTTTTGTCAAAATTTAAAAGAGCGTAAAAAATATCTATTCCTCTAACACTTTTCTTTTTCGTGAAGAATATACATTCAAACCCATGCTCTATTTAGTGATGAAACTTGCCAGGAGTTATTTATGAAAGTAATTCAACATTCCACATCACAAAGAAATTTTGTTCATCATGACAAATGAGGGTTCTGAGAATGTTGCAAAAGAGGTTTTTAAAACTTCACCGTGAAAAGCAAATATTTGAAAATTGTTCATGATTAAAACAATTGTTCATGATTAAAACAAATAACCAAAGCAACATGATTAAAACAAATTTCTTCATTAAATAACTATTCCTCCAAATCTTTTCTTCATCATTAAAAGTAAATGTTCAAACAGATGTTCTGTTCAGTCATTAAAAATCACAACAGATATTTACTATTGTTTATTTACTGATGTTTTTTTTAAAAACTTCACCATGAAAAACAAACATTTGAAAATTGTTTTTTTCACCATGTCCAAATGTTGACAAATATTTTCTTCATACTCAAAAACAAAAGACTCTAAAAATGATTTGAAAAATTAACACTGCAAAAGATGTTTTGAAACCAGACCATGCAAAGCAAACATTTGAATTTTTTTTTCACCATGATGTGTAAATGTTTAAATTCTCCACAATAAAAAAAAACACTTTGAAATTATTTCTTCATCATGAATGTTTGCAATAATCTAGGTAATTAAGAATAATGTTTTCTTAATCTAGGCAATTAAGCATTCCAAGAGAGCTTCTCCTCATTGTGAAATATAAGTGTTTTGAAAGATTTGTTCTCTTAATTGAAATTAATATTTCACAAAATGTTTAATGTTTTTAAAACTCCACCATGAAAAGAGAACATTTGAAGATTGGTTTCATCACCATGACATAAATGAAAAAATATTTTATTCGGAATTAAAAAGAACACATTGAAAATGCTTTCTACATCATAAAAATAACTATTGCTCTCAATGTTTCTTCATAATGAAAATAAATGTTTAACATGGTGTTTTTTTTGGTGATTTAACAAGATGGTTTCTTTGTCAAGGTGATTGAAAATTCAGAAAACCGTTTTCTTCATCTTCCAAAAGATGTTTTTTTCTTAATGGAAACTAAACATTTCACAACATTTTCATCATCAAAATAAAGATTCCAGAAAAAAAGAATGTTTTGAAACTTCTTCTTTGTGAAAGATAATAGTTATTTTATTTATTTTTCTTGAGTTGGCTACACCTAAACCTGTCAGGAAATGTTTTTAATAAAAATAAACCATATATACCATTTGAAATTTTGAAAAAAGGAATAAATATTTAAGTAAATAGTGGAACTTTTTAAACCGGTTTTGAGTTTTCAAGTCTCAAAATGTAGAAAATGTGATAATTTATGGCATAAGTTTATTGACTTTATTATTTTGACAATCTTAAACTCCTTTTGTCCAAAACCAGCTTTAATAATCACACTACTCACTTAATTGTTTTTAATATACTTTTTTCATATAGTTTATTTTTGTAAAAAGTGTACTTTAAATTTTACATTTTTAGTCAAGGTAGTTCCTGTTGTCTAATTTTAGGCTATATCCGAATGTAAAACGTTTGTCGAACCCCATCAATTTTGGTTCTTTGACGTCTAGTAAATGCAAAAAATAAAGCAAAGAATTTTTAACATGTTATCCTACAGAATTACACTTCGTAGCTCACTAAGAGGACTGAGTGACATCCATGCAATCCAGATATAATAAACTAACTATTTTTTCTTGTACATACAAAGTTGTTGAATACATAATTCGTAGCTATAGAATGCATAATCTGCTTTTTTCAATTTGTTTCGGTATGAATTAATTTCTTCAATTCCTAATTAAACTAAAGAACATTATTCTTTGATAAAAACGAATTTAGGTGGGATATTACAATTAATAACTTTGAAAGATAACATTTGGTGAACTACCAACATTTTCAATATCTGCCACTAAGTCAATCGATTCATGCAACCTTGTACTTTTTTGTTCGAGAAGCTTTTAAATTATTTATTCTTTTATATTTTAGCTTGAAAGTATTGAGACACAAGGCACGAGGATAGCCCTTCAAGTATCCATTGAAGCACCCATAGTAATCGTACCAAGTCACTCGCAGTCAACCGACTGCCTTATTGCTGATTTAGGTCGCCTGAATGCTAAGAACGACTTTACCTTGTGTAACAATGTGTATGATGTCAGCCAAGAGGTCGTTGTTGAGAAAGTTGATGTTGATTTGCAGTCTGTACAGCTATCAAGGTTGGCTAAATAATTAACAAATTTCAGCTTTCTTCTTTTCTGCCTTAAATTCCAGCTTATTTTATTGAACTTAAATGACATCTGACATTTTGTCTGTGCTTTTCTGTGACTGCATGATTTAGGACATAATACCTGCATACAGTATATGACTTTGTTTTCTTAATTAAACTATTATCTTTACAACATGCAATTGTTGCAATTAGTTTATTGTGATTCGTTAAGTTTCGGAAACGGTTGAACACCAAACCTTTTGGTTCAAAATTGTTGTTGCGAGACCACGAGTAAAAATAGAAAGAATGTGTTATAAAGACGATTTTATGATTGTTAAGTCAAAGCCGTTGTTTATTCGGCTAAGAATAAACAACGAGAACGAGAAAAGAATAATAAGATATAAATACATGATTGAACGAAGAAAATTTTGGAATAATTACAATTCTTGTTTAGTTTTCTGATATATTATTTGTCGCACTCATGCCGTTTCTCTTGGAAGAAACCGGGATGCCCATGACTTCGATCGAGCTATCTCTCTCAACATAATAGAGCCAAACTGAAATTCATACTTTGTTTACTGTCACCATAAAACCCCCAGTATGTTACTGTACATGCGGCCTCCAAGTATTTCCATATGGAAATCATTAATGTCAACACACTATTTTTAGAGGAAGTCTTGATTTCAATTCTGGGACAATGGCCCGCCGTTTACTAGTAAAACCACTAAAGATGACCCTAGTGGTATCGCGTTCCATGCAAGCGAGTGCCCACTGGCTACCATACTTGAGCATGGACATCAGGCTGGAACATGTTGAGGTAATTGTGAATTATTTTTTTACCATTGAACAACCTTACCATCTTCTACTTCTATTACATCCATGTGAGCTTTTTGGGGTGTAGATGCCTAAGTGTCTTATTCAGATATTCACCAATGTCTAGACAAACATGGATGAAACAGATTACCAGTTGCTTGTTTCTGCAATGCAGCAGAATTACGCTGAGGCGGAAGTCGTTTTTGGAAGCACTTCAGGTCAGTAGAGTAAAATTATATTATATCTACAATCATGCAGAGCTCCAGATTTGTACAACTTCGAAGCAGTATTTCTCCAGAATGTTGTCGTTGTATTTCACCTCCAATATATATAACGGAAAATTTAAATTTAAACACTGTTGGCCGATCATACAGTCCAAGGCTGAAATATTATAGTTTAAGATGCATGTGATGTTACTCTGAGTGTGTATCCACACCGGGCAGGCTTGAAAAATATGCCTGGCCACGGTGGGAATCGAACCTACGACCTTTGGAATACTAACCCAATGCTCTGCCAACTGAGCTACGCGGTCGGTCGGCAGAGCATTGGGCTAGTATTCCAAAGGTCGTAGGTTCGATTCCCACCGTGGCCAGGCATATTTTTCAAGCCTGCCCGGTGTGGATATACACTCAGAGTAACATCACAAGCATCTTATTCACCTGAGTACATTACACCAACACAGCAAATATCATGATTATTAGATTACAGTGATATCGAAGGAACTAGAGTCAGTTCCGAAATATCACATACTCGAACCGACCTTACCGCGTAGCTCAGTTGGCAGAGCATTGGGCTAGTATTCCAAAGGTCGTAGATTCGATTCCCACCGTGGCCAGGCATATTTTTCAAGTCTGCCCGGTGTGGATATACACTCAGAGTAACATCACAAGCATCTTATTCACCTGAGTACATTACAGCAAATATCATTATAGTTTAAGTAGTCTTGAAGAAAACAACAATTGTCAAGCAGACATTTTATAACTATTAAGTACTTTTATAAAATACAAAATAATGCATGGATACATTGAGTATTTTCATTTTGATATTGTCAATGTTTTGACTAATATTTAGTCATCGTAATACATATACAGTAAGTGCTAAGATAAAATTGTGAAAGCTGTATATAGTACAAACTAAGACAGGTGTTGTAAATCTGTCAACACAACATGAACTAAATCTTGATAAGGTGTAGGTGAGTTAACGTTGAAAGCGTGTAATTAGGACCTAATAAAAGTATTTTTGTTGTTGTGCACAAAGTATTGTTTGGATTTCTACCGCTCAAGCGGGCGATTTATAAATTGCCCGGTTCGGAGGCAATTTAGAGATTTAAATGCATGCATGTTCAGAACAATAGAATCCGAGGTCATCATGATATTACATAATACTTGATTTTGGTATCTCTCCTCTATACACACTGGTGTGGGAAGGGTTTGTCTAAATATAGACGTACACACATGTATGTGTTGACAGTGACGTTAGGATTATGCAGCAGATAATTTGTATGCTCTGAAATTGTACCTATAAATATGTAGAATATATGTAAATAAGATCTACTATTAAATAACACCTAAATTTATACAAGGTAGCGTTAGGGCTGTATACATACTGATTTCTCCAAAACATTTCCTGTACAGTATAAAGAGATTATTGTTTACTACATGTCTAGGTTTATCTGGAGATGTGTTTGTCAATGAACTTTCGGAACTGAATGATGTCGATTACCCTGATACATCAATTGGGCCAGTGCATGAAGGAACTCACCAAGGTAAGGACACATTGGCATGAGTGAATCGAGAAGATACTAACGGGGATGAATCTTAATTTAATTTAGGCGCATGCATGGGACACACCAGGGCAGGAAAAAAGAATTTTCTTCCTGGGAGCACAACCTGGAGACAAACACTCCCTGCAGACATAAATATGCATGTGCATAAACATATGGTGTTCTAGCTGACCATGGTTTTAAATTCAAGCAATAATGTCTGTCAACCATAATTATTCTGCAATTCAAAAATTGAAGCCGTGATTGCAGACTCAGGATATTACCATGAAATGAGCAGATTCGTATGTTTTCTATTTCTTAAACAGGGAACTTAAACATTAAGTTAAAACCTATTCCAAATACATTTTTAAACTATTCAAATGATGAAAGTTTTGTTGTTTTTTAAGCGTTTATTAGCGAGTGGGAACTACCAACATGGCCGCCATCTATTCAAATGGGAGTAACCGCTGGAATATTCTTGGCTTCAATTTTACTAAAAGAGATGCGCTATCTAGTGTATATAAGATATCTATGCACACAATCCATGGCAATTGCGCCCTTAGTAATTTCTAAATGTGTTTGTTATTGTATGGAAATATTCAGTATGTATCCTGTTTGTCTTCTTTATGACTTCAAGGTGAACCGAGCAAGATATGGGATACGACTGTGGCAACATTTACCTTTTCTGGTCTGAGTCTTTCATTATACAATGATGAAAACAACATGGTAAGTTTGCAAATTGTTTCGTGACTATTAATATTGTGTGTTTACTTTTCTATTGATGCACATATGTTAAAGTTTGGGAAAACCAAAATCACACGCAACATTTTGCAAGTGTCCTCCACTGCTTTTATTTTTCTTCAAAATATTTAAGTTTGTCTCACGTTCTTGCCTCGCACAACAGTATTGTCTACTCCATCAACTCTTATTTAATAATTATAACAATTATTCACCGAAGTGGAGGTGAATATTGCAAGATATTCGCCGACACGTGAAGCGTTGAGCTGAATATCCTTGCACTATTCACCAATACTGAGGGGAATAATTACTTTAGCATATACCACAACAAAATAAAAATGATCATAAAACGAAGCTAAGAAACTATTTTTAGAACAAATTGTATTTTGGCTCCCGTAATATTGTAGTTGTGAACAAAACGGTATTTACACGCCCTTTAGTAATGTTATTCAGTTGACATATCTTTAACAATACCTCTACACAGTGTTAAACAAAACGTTGTAGCTTTCTTAATGGTGTTTTGCAAAACGGCAGCTTCTTTAGCACAAATACCTTATTATAGGAAATTAACGATGCACTTTATTAATGCGACATAAATTAACGCGAATTGCTTCTAGGTCTTTTAAAGCATGATTATATTAACGCGAATCTGATCTCCATGCTTGACAAATTAATTAAATTAACGCGAATCGGAAAATATAGACACAACAACAACAACAAAGGTTTGTTAAGAGGAGCACTGATGTTTTTAGTTTACGTTAATATGCTGTATTTTGATATTAAAATAATTAGTATTATATAAAACGAATCTAGGTATTTTTAACTAACGATAAATGAAAATTACAAACTTAAAATTAACGATCACATAAATTAACATTAGTGAGCGTAAGCAAGTGACGTTATTGACAACACAAACGTCAAGAGTAACGTCAGAAGACTGGGTCAAGAGCTGTGATTGGTGGAAAACGTCAATTTTACTTCCGGTCGACGCCCGTGTTGTCAAAAATGTCACTTGCTTAAGCTCACTATTAATTAAATTAACGCGAATTTTTAAAATCCGCGTTAATAAAGTGCATCGTTAATTTCCTATAATAAGGTAGTTGCTCAGTATAACCCGGAACGAAACGGCAAGCCATTTTGTGTTTGTCTGGAGGTGAATGGTGCAAGGATATCCCGAACTGAGCGACCAATCATATTGTGCGAGAGGTACTGTCCAACTCCCAAGTATGTGTTAATACTCGTGACTATTCGACTGACCACTATGTTGTTGTGTTTTAGGAACCTTCAAACTATCTTTCACAAGAACACAGTAAAGAAAAGACTCTCTGCATGTGTGAACTACAGGAAAGCAATGGGACTTTCTCGATACGAAGTGACTCGTCTATTGACCTTCGTCTATATCTTTATGGCTGCATTGTGGAGGACACAAGGCCAAGTAAAATGACTGCTTTTCCAAGGTATGCAGTGGATTTACACTCGTAGTAAAAACTACATTGATTATCCTCTGTAAAATAGGAATGTTCCGTTTACCAATATACCGAAAATATCGGTATTGAAAAAATATACTGATATACCGCAAATATCGGCATTCAAACCAACCATTCATACCGATCGACCGAAATTTCCGATACATCGGAATTTTTCAGTATATCCAACCAAATTTACACACCATGCATGTGGGGAAATCATCATGCATGTGGGGAAATCATGGTAACAGCATGCTTTAAAAATTCCCTTAGGTGTGTTTTTTTAAACTTTGCATAAAAGATAATACCGATCTAATGATTTTTTGCTTCAATTTTAAAGGACGTCTGTCGATATGTTTCTTAGAAAATCTTAAAAACGTCAAAAATAAATATTATAAAATTTCCCTTCGATAGAATCTTAAGAAAAGGGCCGATATTAAGAAATGTGCAAAGTTTAAAAAAAAATTACCGAAGGAAAAGGGAGAAATTTAGGTTTAATTTTGGCATTTTTTACGAGATGTGACGTGTACAATTATCACATCTGACGTGTACAAACGTTTCTCGCGTGGGTTCCCTCATGCATTTCGTAAACAACAAGGCATGGTCGTAACCCCCTGAGATGAAACCCTTAGGGAGCCACCTCAAAAACAATGTCAACAGCTTGGAAATTATTATGAACGGTGTTTCCACTTTTCAAATTGTTCAAAATCAAATTTTCTTCACGTTTCCACTAAGGAATTAGCTTGGAATGTGATATGATTGTGCTGATATTGTAGTTACATACACTCACCTCTAAGTTGTTACAGATGCTATATAGTTGATGCAGATAACCCCTGAACTACACTGGGCATATCATAACCAAAGTATATCATGATCATATCATCAACATTTTGCTACGAGTTTCCTTGAATAAATAAGGCTGGTTTTCACAGGTATTGCAATTATTTCCAGAATGCTGTCCCACAGAACAGAACAGAAGCATGGAAGAAGACGGTCTTTGAGGAACAGCAACACAAAACGTCGAAGCATGATCGAAGTTTCATATAAACAGACACCTACTGGTGAAATGTATGGTAGGTCAACTCATTGTTATAATTATACATTGATGAGTTTTGTTGGTCGTAGATTTGTTCTTTTTGTATGAATTTTCTGATCATAAATTTGCCTCAATTATGTTTGGCATTGAAGAGGTCAATTCGATTCACCAAACACAAGAATTCTCAGCCCCATTTTAATTCTCTAAAATGGAGTTGCAAGTTTCTAAATGACGTGTTTCCAGGATCTTATTGAAAATACAGAGTTGACAAATATCCAACAAGCAACAGGAAATGCTGCAGAAACCCTTTTAGCAGATTCTTTTATTGTTAAAGAGTTTTCATTGATGAAATGATATACTTGTCGTGTGAATTTTGTTCCATTCCATCATCACTATATAACAAAACACCTAAAGTCTGTTCCCTCAATAGTTTTTATCAATGAATATTATATTATCAATATACTGTAGTTAGTTAGTTTCAAAAGCTTAACATTACTTCCACAAATAATGGAAATCTCAACCCAGAAAGATTATCAACTGCTAGGCCAAAAGAGCTAGTCTCACAGGAGAATCTGTTATATGGAGCTTTTTATGTAGTTGTATATTTGTATCTTTTTCAGTTAATTTAATCCTACAAGATCCGGTGCTATATATCAGTTTCCCCCTTTTGTGGTCATTGCTTGACTTCTTTTCTGCAAAATCTGATCTTCAAGCTGGGTTTAACGATGCAGGTATAACTATAGTGTTTTATACATTTGATTTTTTCTATTCAGTGATGATGCAGTAGAAACCCAGTATCTCAAACAGCCAAGGGAGACAAGAAGAGTTCGAGACACCTTGGGTTTGAATAACCGTCTCAGTATTAAATTACACAAAAAAAAACAACTTAAACTACATTAATGTAATGTGCTGATCCAGTGAGCCAATTGGTGACTTTTATTGTGAAATATACAATAAACACTGCCAATACAGTTCATTCAGCGATTGTGCTGTAGGAGTCTGAAACTGTAGAAATATATATTCTTTATTATAGTCTGTTTTACGTAAATTTTTACGCTGCATTTCCTGATAAATACAAAGACCTGAGCATGTTGTTTTTTGTGTGTGTGGAAATGTGTTTAAGTTATTGAATTGGTTTAAATTTGAGATACGCAAGTTGGGGTTGCACTTTAGTTGGCACCATTTTAATTTGTTTGTTAAACTGTTTGTTAAACTTTACTGCCAGATGAATTGAATATTGAACACTTTGAGCGATAATAATAGTTGTAATAAATGTAGTAAAGATAAGTGTCAGTTTATTTGACTGTTTTTCTACTTTGAGGTACGACGCTGTCTCAATCAACCACGGACTACGACTCTCCCGGTCAATCTATACCTTATGTACTTGAAGTGAATGGTGCTCTGAAAAATCCTGAGATAGTCTTGTTAGGTGAACCTGAAAACCCATGCAGCTCTGCTCTCATTGTTCAGACAAGCGTCGAATTTGCATATAAATTGGTTAACAACCAACAGAATTTTTCTACAGCAAGTAAAAACCTAATTGTGCACAGTTGTCAATACCCTGATCGAGAGGAAACACTATACAAGGTCAGGTTGATGTTGCCAAGAAACAATCTACAGTGTCTTTGTGAGAATTATTGGATAAAGTTTCAGAGAATAAGTTACAAACATTGATGACTATTGCTTTATAAGTAAGCCACCACAAATAGTCCAGACTCCAGATATACTTTGCAAATATTTCTGCTGGCATTGGATTGCTATTTCGTGATTCATTACCAACCTATAAGGACCCGTGTCATCAGTACTGACACTCTGTGAAGTACTGGCACACGTGAACAAAGTTTTGGGAAAGAGTGTTAGATAGTGGACGATTTTGGTAATAGAGTTACCAAAAATTATTGGAAACACATTCTGTAGGAGGTTCTCAGAGCTGTGTATTATTGCATACTGTATGTGAACTAAACAATACTTGCATATGACTTGCATATTAGTTTACCTTTTCAGTTTTGTCTC